GTGAGACCCCAGACGCTCTCTGCCGCCCTTTCTCCCTCTTCCAGAGGAGGCTCGGGCGAGCCCCAGAACTTGGCCGAGGTCACACACAGCTAAGTAAGAGCCCAAGCTGAGCCCCGAACCCAGGACTAGCTGACTTCAAGACGCCCGTGTCGCTGCTCTGCCACATTCTGGGGCGGGGCGGGGGGGGGTGCCCTCTCTGACTCCGACGCTGCCCGGGGCACTGCTGATGACAGGGTGATCCAGAGCCCCACAGGCAGCCAGACTCCTGGGGTCAAGAACACCAAGTCATACGGGCTGGAGGGACCCAGAAGGTGGTGGGGGAAGGTCACGGTGGCAGCGCCCTGCAGGAACTCAGGGGTCAGTGGGGGCCTAATGCCACTCTCCCAAGAGAGGAGACTCAGGAGCCCCCAGGAGTATGCTGGGGCCGTGATTGATTAAAATGATTTAATCAATCATGCCTGTGTAATGAAACCTCCAAAAACCCCGAACGATGGGACTCAGAGAGCTTCCAGGTCACTGAACACATTGAGGTGCCGGGAGGGTCGCACAGTGAAGGCAGGGAAGCCCCTTGCTCTATAGCTTGCCCTGCGCATCTCTTCTGTTTGGCTGTTCCTGAGTTGTATGCCTTACGATAAACAGGCACTGGTAAGTAAAAGCCCTCCTAAGTTCTGTGAGTCATTCTAGCAAATTATCAAACCAAGGAGGGGTCCGTGGGAGCCCAACTTTATAGCTGGTCCATCAGAAGTACAGGTGGCCCAAACTTATGAACAATGTTTGAAGTGGTACAGTCTTGTGGGCCCGAGCCCGTAACCTGCACTAACTCCAAGTAGTAACAGGAGTGTACTAAATTGTAGGACACCCAATTGGTGTCCGGAGAATCAGAGGACTGGTTGGTATAAGGAAAGCCCCACACATTTGGTGTCAGAACTGTCATGAGTAAAAACAGGGCACCCCAGTGAAAAAGTGACATCACCAGCCCTTGGAGCCTGTGAGGCCAGAAGCAGTGGCACACAGGGCCAGGGAGACCAGAGGTGTCGTCTCAGAGGTTAGGCTCAGTGCCTGGGCAGACCTGGGTCCAAATCCCACCTCTGGCTTTAGCGGTGTGCCCTTGGGGATGAGGATGAACCTCTCTGGCAGGCCTCAGTCTCCTCATCTGTAAAATGGGCATCTAATAGTTCTCACTCCTCCTGGGCTAGTCTAAGGCTGTGCAGTAACATCACGTCTATAAGCACTCAGCACAGGGCCCAGGAAAACAGGTCAATTCTCCAGCAAGGAATGACCCTGACAGCCCTCTGCAAAGTCTAGGGAAGGGGAGTGGTCTTTGCAGGGAGACCGGCTGTGGTTCCAAACCTCACTCTGGAACATACTAGCTGTGCAACATCAGGTAAACCGCATTCCTCCTCTTATAAAGCCGTGAGCCAAGTCCTGTGCTCCACACGTTTGGCACTGACTCATTTAATCCTCATGACAAGCCTACAAAGTGGGTGCCATCATTAGCCCCCTTTTATAGAGGAGGAAACTGAGGTTCAGAGAAGCCAAGCCAGGAGGCTGACTCTTGCCCATGGCATTATCCTTCCTCACCAGGTTATTGTATGAATCCAATCAGGTCAAAAGGCACAAGAGAGGTACAAGTGCTTCTGAAACCATCAAACGCTAAGCCAATATTAGTGGTGGTTGTCGTTACTGCTGAAACAGTTCAAACATCCTAAGTCCAGTTATAAGGCCTGAAATCTACCCACAGGGACTGATATTGGTTTTTAAAAACAGGATCAGGACTTTCAAAATAAGTTAAGGAAGCTGGGTGCGCTGCGAGGAGAGCATCGTATTAATGAAAAAAAAAAAAACCTGATTAACGGAAATGATTCTTAATATATTTCGAAATGATCTGTTATGACACAAAGCAAAGACATTTATATATGACTTTGAAATCCTTAATAGCTGATTTTAGAGCAACCTATTATTAAATCTTCCAAAGCAGAATATATAGTAAGTAAATCATCAAGCAGGCCTCTCAGGCAGACTGACAGCAGCTCCTCTTAAAATAATTTATAAGGTGGGGTGGGGGAAGGCTGGGAGGAATTATTGCCATAATCATGTATTAATAAAATATTTATAAATGTGCCTTTCTCTTTTATCGTTACAGGCAGCTACAGGTATGAGTCCCGAGCCCACATCAGAGGGGGTGCCCCATGAGCCTCAGGAGAAGAAAGTCAGGCATCAAACTTCTCTGGTGACAGGTCAATAGACTGGGGGCTCCCTTAGCCTCCGTTTTGTCACATCAGAGGCAGAGAGGTTTCAAGTGTGACAATGGAAATCGGAAGGTAGGTCCCAACTGCCTTGTTCTCTCCCTAGGCTTTGCTAAGTGCCGGGAGGGAGCAAGCCTATTTGAGTTGAGCAAAGCAGAGAGGCACGTGGCTGCGACACCCTGGGAGAGTCACCCAACCCAGGCTCAACAACACAGTCTACTGAGGGACTGCCTTGAGCTAGAAGCATGGATGACCTGTCCACCACCCCTCACCCTGGCCATTCCGTACATACCACGCCACACGTGTCCCTGGCCTGTCACTACAGGTACCTGTCTGCGCCTCTCTGCTTTCTTGGCTGCCGGAACATGCTCAGCTCATGCATGGGGCAGGCTGGAAGGGCAGGGGGGAATGCTCCCCGGGAGCAACCTTCAACCAGGGAGAAGCAGGAGGCGGTATAGATCAATATCCCGGCTCCCTCACCCCTCGGGTAATACTCGATGAGGAGGCATGTTCTTCAGAGTCTCCCAGAGGTCCCGAGAGATACTGGCCCCCCACTTCCCAGAGCTAATCCACTCCTTAAGCCTCCAGCATCACCTGCCTCTCTTCCCTCACTTCCCTATCGGTTCCTCCTGATACCCCCTCCCCCAAAGCCTACATGCAATTTTTGTCTCAGGGTGTGCCTCCGGGGAAAGCAGCTTAATTCAGCTTTCTCTTCTTTACTCCATTTAATCCTCACACCAACCCCAGCCTTGGCCCAATGAAAGAGAAGGCCTCTCTGAAACTCAGAGAAGTTTGGTTTTGAACTCAGATCTGCCTCCCTCAAGTGCCCATAGCCTGGAGTGTTTTTTGGGGGGGGCTGTGTTGGGTCTTCGTTGCTGCGTGGGCTTTTCTCCAGTTGCGGGGAGCGGGGGCTACTCTTCGTTGCGGTGCACAGGCTTCTCACTGTGGTGGCTTCTCCTGTTGCGGAACACGGGCTCTAGAGCACAGGCTCAGTAGTTGTGGTGCACGGGCTTAGCTGCTCCGTGGCATGTGGTATCTTCCCGGACCAGGGCTCGAACCTGTGTCCCCTGCATTGGCAGGCAGATTCTTAACCACTGCACCATCAGGGAGTCCCCAGCCTGGAGTTCATTGCACCTAGACCTTCTGAGCCTCAGTTTTCTATTCTGTAAAATAGATTTGCTTCCTTCCACACATCCCCAATCTATAGATGCCTGTGCTCCAACTCTAAACCTTCCCACAGCTTTTCTGATCTGAACTGTGCAATGACATCCCCAATCCCAGTCCATTTACAAAGCTGGCTGATTTCCAAATGGTCAGGGCGTTGAGCACGGCCCACGGCTGATTTTTGGAAAAGGCAGGTGGCATTTGATTTTTCCATGTTTGCCCAGTTAAGCATGTCTGCCCTTGGCTTGGACCAACTGTGGACCCCCTACCCTACCTATTTCTGACTCAGCATAACTTCTAGAAATGTCCAAAGTCAAATCAGTGGACCAATGCAGCTCAAGTGTATGAAAATCAAAAGAACAGGCCACAAGGCCCACGGGTATGGGAATGGCAGGAATAACATGCCAGCATATTCCAAAGAAGTCTGCTGCCCCACAGAGGAATAGCCCAGAACGTCAGCCAGAGTCAACACACAGCTCCAGAGGACAGACCTCCACGCCCACATGTATCCATTCAAAAAGTAAATTCCAACTCTATGTTCTGGGCCCAAAGGAAGCCACTCTCTACAGGAAACAGCTAGACAAAGACACAATCACAGTATAAGGTGCCACAAGCCCCACGAAGGCAGGAGCCACACTGCTCTTGACAGTGACCGTCTCCCCGGGACCTCGCGTAGTGCCAAACGCAACAGCACAGGAGTCTGGTTAGGGAAGCGAGGAGCCTTGAATGCCAAGGCAAGGAATTTTACTTGATGGAGCAGACGAGAGAGAGCCTCGGGAGGAGTGTAAGCAGGGAACGGCACAACAGGTCTACGTTTTAGAAAGGAGCCCAGTGGCCACAATGAGGGTGGAGCCAAGCCATATGCAACGACGCTACCTCAATAGTCCAAGCAAAAAAGGGACTAGCAAATACTTAGTCTAAGGTGATAACAGTAAGAATAGAGAAGTCAGGACAGAAATGCTGTCACAGAAAGTATCTACAGGGCAAGGTCAACGACTGGATAGGGATGGGAGAGGGAGACCAACTTGAAGTAGGGACAATAAGCAAACAGTTAAGGCTGGGGAGCAGGTTTGGGAGGAGAAGGAGAGCTGGGTGAGCTTCAGGGCACATGGTGTGAGCATCTCCAAGATGTCTAGACAGGAAAACATCACCTTCAGCGCGTGGACCCAGCCTCCTCTCATCCGTTTCAGGGTGTCTCTTCTCAGCACAGTAACCACTAGCTACATGTGGCTATTTAAATGTATGTTAATTAGAAATTAATGCAATGACAAATTCAACGCCTCGGTTGCACCAGCTGCATGTCAAAAGCTCGACAGCCACATACAGCCAGCGGCCACCCTACTGGACAGAGAACCTCCCCCTATCATCACAGAAAGTTCCACTGGACAGTGCTGGGTTACGCGGTTGCTTGAAACACCCAGCCCGCTGCCTTCTCGGCACGCCTGGTTCGGCAGCCTCCCCGAGAGCAGTCCCAGAGACGTGGAAGATGACAGGCTGACCCTGTCCCACCTCACGGAAAGAAGGGCCTTGACAGGCACCTGCTGGTGGAGACAACCGGCAGCCCAGGTGAGCCCGGCGGCAAGCACGTACCTTTGCAGGCCCCCGCCGCACCCAGGTGGTAGATGGCTGCCAACACCCGCCAAATGGCCCTCTGCTCGCTCTCCAAAATGCCCAGCGTCTCCATGGCGCCCTGGAGCTGGGCGAAGGCAGCCGCCGCCCTCTGCTTATCTTCAGGCTGAGAGCAAGGGGAGAGAGGAAGACAAACAGGCCGTCACGGTGGAGGAAATGCAAACTTGCAAGTGGAAGCAGGGCTCAGTCTGAGGGGAAAGTGTGGTCATTTTATGACCATGGTAAATCACCCACGATTAATCTGGGGAGTACTGACACACAGAACTCAGGCTGCTGGGAAAGTTATAAAAATCATTTCTATCTGACTTTGGAAGGCGACATGATTTTTATTCACTCGTGTGTTCATTCAATAGATTTGAGGCTCTGCACCATGCTGGGCTCTGGAGAGACAGAGATGAGCGAAATCCAGAACTTGACTTTGAGGACCTCTCAAGCTAGGAGTGGAAAGAGACTTAAAAACAACTAAGTGCGAAACAGGCTAAGTGGGGGACTGTGGGATCTCAGAGGAGGGCCTGGCCAATTAATCCCACTCGAGAGAGTCAAAGAGAATGTCGCAGAAGATGAGACAAGATTGTGATTGAAGTCTGAAAGACAAATAGGTAGAGCTGACCAACTGGATGGGATAAAAGACCTGATGGGCAGAGGGGACAACAGGAACAAAGGACATCTTTGGAGACAACAGGTGTTCAACTGAACATGGACAGAGAAGCAGGTATTTTTGGAGGTGGGGCAGACAGAGTGGGGGAGGAAATAAGCACGAGAAGCTGGCCGGTGCCATGGAGAAGGCCTCAAACACAGTATTAAAGGGCATAGGCTTAAAACTCCAGCCACAATGGACAAACACGCATCCCTATTTACACTCCTGGACCTGTGGCAGACAACACCAATCGATGAAGACCCCACAGCAAACCAGCGAGTCCAGATCCTTTTCAGGATGTCCCCCCTTGCAGCCCCACCCAATGGTCTGCCTCAGCAACTGAAACAGACCCTGTCTGCCATGCCCGGGGCACGCAGAGGGAAACTGCCGAGGATTTTTAAGCAGGAAAGAGAAAATAGTATGAGCAGGTGTTTATGGGTTGTAGGGTATCACTTTTCCTTTTTCAGATTTATGATCCCCATTATGTTTGCTTTTTTTAAAAAATAAATTTATATATTTATTTATTTATTTTTGGCTGCCTTGGGTCTTCATTGCTGTGCACGGGCCTCCTCTAGTTGCGGCGAGCAGGGGCTATTCTTCGTTGTGGTGCGCGGGCTTCTCATTGCGGTGGCCTCTTTTGTTGCAGAGCACGGGCTCTAGGTGCGTGGGCTTCAGTAGTTGTGGCACGTAGGCTCTGTAGTTGTGGCTCATGGGCTCTAGAGCACCGGCTCAGTAGTTATGGCGCACGGGCTTAGTTGCTCTGCGACATGTGGGATCTTCCTGGACCAGGGCTCGAACCCGTGTCCTCTGCACTGGCAAGCAGATTCTCAACCACTGTGCCACCAGGGAAGTGCCCCCAATTATGTCTGATTGAATATTAAAATTAGTCTGAAACTCCTAACTCCACACACGCCACCTGGCCAAGGAGACGCGACCCAGAAGCCTGCTGGGTTGAGAGGAAGTGAGCTGGGGATGAGAATTCTTTTGTCAATAATCCTCCAACAGATAATGAGGACCTGATTTGCACGTGGCCTGTTGACAGAGCTTGGGTGATGAACCGTAAGCTGTCAAAGCCGGAAGGTCCTTGAATTTTATGGAGTCCAATGCTCCATAAAATTAGTATCAGATACAGGATTAGTATCAGATACAGGATTAGAATCAGGCTTTCTGACTCCCCGTCCAGGCCACTCGTCCCCTCCGCTCAAGCCACTTCTTCTAACTGCGAAAGAAACCTGCAAGGATCATTGACCCATTGGGACAATGTCAAAGCACGCAGTGACATTGAGAGATTCGCTGTGGAAACATTTCAATTAATAGCAAAAGCATGTTCCACTGATCCATCATATTTCTGGGGCACCACAGGACCACAAAAACCCTAGCAACAAGCAGCTCAACCTAGCAACTGCAGCTGCTCCGCTGGAGCAAACGGAGGAGAGGAAGGCATCTTACCAACATGCTCTTGGTTATTTATGAGATTGCAAAGTAGCAGAGAAAGGACACCAAAAGGACGGTGGCAACACATTTATTGTGGCTCCCACTGTCAGCCATGAGCATTTGACTTTAAATTACAGGCAGACTCCACCATCTGCCACTTAGCTCATACGAACGGGAGAATTAGAAAACTTCCACTAAAGCTTGTCTGCTTCTTTTTCTCTCCTCCCCACCTCCCCCAGTCTCTGCTGCAACAGAAGACACGGAGGGATGAATATATACGCTTCTGATCTAAAGCAATCAGAATCACGAGGATGTTTACAGTTCCCTAAAGTTCTAGGGAGCCAGACACCTCTGCATAATGTCCTGACAAAAGCCAGTCCCTGCCTCAAAATCACGAAAATAGAAATCAGATCAGTGGGATAAACCAACTCACGGCCAAAATGTCTACCAAGAAGAGAATGGATAAACAGTGGGTGGTCCAGCCAGGGCACAGTGACGGGGTACCACGCAGCAATGAAAAAGATCACGTCACTGATCATGCAAGCACGTGTATGAACCCCACAGATTCCACGTGAGACAAAGGAGCCATGTACAAAAGAACATGCACTGTGGATTCTGGTTACATGAAGTCCAGATGTGGGCAAAACTACCCTATGGGAAGAGAAGCTCGGATGATAACTCAGGTGGGAGGGATGCCTCTGATGGGGTGGGGACTCAAGGGAGCCTTTACTGGAATGAGGAATGTTCTAGATGTTGAGCTGGTGTGGGGTCACAGGTGTGTGTAAGAATATAATCATCACTGAGTTGTACACTTAAAATTAGGGCTTTCATAAACATTTGACTGTATGTCTCAACTGAATTGAAAAAAAGAAGTGAAAAAGTAAAAGCTGACTCAGAAGATGCCCAGGCTTCGTCTGATGCAATTAAAGCCTCAAGGTTAACCCAAGATGGCAGGTAATTTAGTGCAAAAACTAAAATCCAAAATGTCCTCTCCACATTCAACCGGGCTGCATTTAGAGCACGCAGGAGATTCCAACAATGCAGAGAGGGGCCAGGTTTGGATATGGAGGCAGACGGAACTGCGTGTTCTCTCGGCTCTGCATCCCTGCGGTGTGACTGCACAAATCTCTTGCCCTTGCGCTGGAGGCTCAGTTTCCACGACTGTAGGATGAAAATAACAGCCAAACCTCCTCCCAGGCCACTGTGAGGATTAAATAAGTTGAAGTGTGTAAAGCACCAGCACAGTGCCCAGCACACAATGGCACTCAGTTAATGCTGGGCTCGACCCCATGCCTTTGCCCAGGCTGTCAGGCCTTCCAGAGACACCTTCCCTGCTGCTGTACATTAGTCCCTGGCAAGTGAATCAGGCGTGGCCCGTCCTTGAGGGGCTCCCAGTCCAATAAGGGGGACAGATGTGCAGACAGACACTGACAGCACAGGGTGAGGCTGGGCCTGGGGAGGGGTAAGGAGGCGACTTCCGGGAAGAAGCGCTGTATGAAGCCACCAGCACGAGCAGGAGAAGCGGGCGCTGGGCAGGCAGGCAGCCAGGGTCTCCTAGCAGAAGGGTGCGCGGCTGGAAGACATGGTGCGTTAGGTGCCAAGCCCCCTGAGGGGGCACATGCAGGCCTCTCTCACAGGGTGCAGGGCCGCAGAGAGCCATGGTCTGCAGCTGGGCGCTGCTCTCTGGTGGAGGGTGCGGTACCAGGGGCCTCCCTGGCCGAGGGAACCGGCCCCTGGAGTTCTGCCCCTGGCTATAAACACAGTTCGGGCCGGGGTCGCACTCTGCTTCACGGGGATGTAAACCACACCCCCTCCTCCAGAGCCAGGGTGGGCTCCCCTGTGTCTCTACAACCAACCAACCCAGGGCTGGAAGGATTCCCACGGTTCCAGCCCCTGGATCTGGAGCCGGATCTGGGAGGGAAATGCAGAACACTGACTCTATTCATTTGCAAAAGAAACGTGGGTGCCTGCACAGGTGGGTGAACTTGACAGAGACCACGGGGAGGGCAGGACAGGCGTCCAGCCATAGCCAAGGGCTCCCTTTACCTCAACACTGACGGGCCCACGTTCTCTCCGGGCACTGCAAGTCCATTTAAGGAGGGAGAAGAGAAGGGTTAACTGAGTACCTACAATGCTGCACTAGGTGCTTTTACCTTGTAAGGCAGCTGTGAGTCTCTCCAATTGTCAGAGGAGAAGTTGAGGCTCAGAGAGGCTAAGGCACTTGCCCAAGGCCACCCAGATGGGGAGGGACAGAGTGACTGTACGCCAGATTCTTTACTGAGCGCCTACCCTAGGAGCAGACCGAGGATCAGGGTGTTGCTCCACCCATTCCACAGGGGGAAAAACTGAAGCTGAGAGAGAAAAAGTGACCCAAGAGTGCACACTAGGGCACATCCCAGAGCACGCAGTCTTCAGCCAGGGCACAGACCTGAGATGACAGCGAGGGACGAACAAGAGAGACCATTTGGAGTCAGGCCAACCTGGATTCCCTGCTTCTGCCACTTAAAAGCTGTGTGCCCTTAAGCAAGTAGTTTCACTTCTCTGAGCCTGATTACTCCTCCCAACCAACAGATGTGATAATAATCCCTTCTGTCAAAGGATCCTTAGGAGAATTAAGTAAGAGAAAGCTCCTGGCAGAGCCCCTGGCAGGAGTGCCTGATCCCCCATCCTTCTGTCTGGAGCCCATTCCTCCACAGTTGATGCCTGGGTCATAAAAAATAAATGCGCCTTGGGCCAAAGCCTGGCTGCTGCCAGCCAGAAGCAAACTGCTGGGAGGCAAGGATTATTATTATTATTATGATCACTGCTGCTGGTACTTTTTTAAAACATCAGTCTAGGTTGTGGAAAAATAAATTATAGAGAAGAAAATAATATGAAAGCTTTGTGATTTCAAGTGTGTCCTGGTGTCCTAACAGATCTCAAATAAGTTCCATTTAAAGCTGAAATGTGGGGTTTCCCTGGTGGCGCAGTGGTTAAGAATCCGCCTGCCAACGCAGGGGACACAGGTTCGAGCCCTGGTCCGGGAAGGGAAGATCCCACCTGCTGCGGAGCAACTAAGCCCGTGTGCCACAACTGCTGAGCCTGCGCTCTAGAGCCCGTGCTCCGCAACAAGAGAAGCCACCACGGTGAGAAGCCCGCGCACTGCAATGAAGACCCAATGCAGCCAAAAATAAAATAAATAAATTTTATAAATAAATAAGTAAGTAAAAGCTGAAATGTGGCAGGCAGGGAGGACGCAGCGCAGGGACCAGGAGGGGAAGCTGGCCATCAGCGAGCGAAGGCGGTCACGGAGGGCCAACACCACCCCAAGGGCCGGCTTCCCCACAACCTGGCCCTGCTCCAGCTGACAGCCCCCCGGGCCCACACCCTCACCCTGTGCTCTGCAACCACTGCACTGCTGGCTCTCCCCTGGCATTGCCGCTGCATCAGGAGCTCGGTGCAGCAGGAAGGCTGGCCTCACTGCACCTGCCTAACTTCTCTCACAGTCCAAGACCAGCTTGTACTCACCTCCTCCAGGTAGCCCTCTCTGATACAACTTCAACCCTCCAGGCCTGCCCGTATAATATTTGGGACACACTTAAGTTAAAAAAAAAATATTTGATGTTTATGTGAAACTCGAATTTAACCGGGCATCATGTATTTTTTCCAGCTTTACTGAATTATAATTGACAAATAAAAATTGTATATTTTTAGGTGTGCAATGTGAGGATTTGATACACATAAACGTTGTAAAATTATTACCGCAATGAAGTTAACTAATACACCCATCACCTCACATAGTTACCATTTCTTGGTGTGTGGTAAGAACACGTAAGTTCTACTCTCCCAGGATATTTCAAATGTACAGTAAGTCCAATATTATTAACTATAGTCACCGTGCTGTTAGATCAGTTACAAGATGAATATGGTCTAGGTATCCCATATTTTTATTTGCTGACTCTGGCAACTTCGGGGGCTTGTACTTAGCAACTCTCATTCTTGGGGGGATTTCCTGACCACCAAATTCCTTCACTGAGCCAGTACCTGATGGCCCAATCCCAGAAAACTAGCCCAGGCTTGTATCAAAGACTGACGAATTTCCAGCTTGTATTTTTGCTCTTAGAGAACAAAGAAAACACTCTCCATACCTGCCAGGTAGCAGGGTGAGAACAAAGAAATACCCTACCAGTTCCCACAGATCAACTGGTCTAAAAAAACAACCCCCAGAAACACACAAAAAAAGAAAGCCACTTCAAACACCTCCTTGACTGGGTTCACACTGCGCCCCACTCCTGTATGCGAACTGTGAACAAACATGTCAGGCTGAGATGCTCACGAGGGCCTGGCTTGAGCCCTTCTCCTCCTCAAAACCAAGAAAACAAACAACAATGCTCTTGCTGATTCAAATGGATACACGTGGCCCAACCTCATTAAAGAAAACCCAGCACTGGGACAGCCTCGCATCCCCTGCCGTCCTGAGGCCAGTCTGGGCTCCTAGCGGCCGGAAACCAGGGGGGAGAAGAGGCATGAAAGAAGAACATACTGCAAGTCCCCCCGGTGGAGGGGGGTGTCAGGCAGGTGAAGCCGGGGGAGCCGCATCACCTCACTTCATCCCACTCCACTCACTGTCAAAACAGACTCACCAACAGTGGTTCTCAAAGCGGGGTCCCCGGACCCACAGCTTCAGCATCACCTGGGGACTTGTGAGAAATGCAGATTCTCAGGCCCTAGCCCAGACCTACTTAATCAGTAACTCTGTGGATAGCACCCAGCAGAGAGAGAGAGAGAGAGAGAGAGTGAGACAGCCTTACTGAGGTGTAATTGGCAAAAATAAACCACTCATCTTTAACAAGTACACTGTGATAAGCTCTGACATATACACCCGTGAAAGCGTCAGCACTCAAGACAATGGACACATCCATCCCCCGCAAAAGTTCCCTTTCATAATCCTCTCTCCCCTCCTCCTGCAACCAAAACCCCGGGGCAACCATTGACCTGTCTGCTGTCACAGCGGATTCATTTGCATTTTCTAGAGTTTCAAATACATGGGGTTATATGGTTGTACTCTTTCATCTGAGATTTTTCACTCAGCACAATTATTTTGAGAGCCATCATGTTCTTGGGTTTATCAGCAGTTCATCGTTACTACTGAGTACTATACTACCTTTATGGTTTTCCACAATGAATTCACCCATTCACCTGTTAATAGACATTTTGGGTAGTTTCTAGGTTTGGGCTCTTACACATAAAACTGCTAATGAACTTTCATGTAAAATAAATTTTGCACGGATGTACACTTCCATTCTCCTGCATAAATACCTAGGAGTAGACTAGCGTGCCACATGGGAGGTGTATGTTTAACTTTGTAAGAGACCGTTTTCCAACGTGGCGCACTATTTTCCACTCCCATCAGCAGGGTGTGACAGTTCCAGTTACCCCACATTCTCACCAGCATTGGTATGATCAATCTTTTCAAGTGTAGACACTCCAGTAATTGTGTAGTAGTATTTCACCGTGGTTCCAGTTTCAATTTCTTTAATGACTAAGGAGGTTTAACATACTTTCAACATGCCATCTAAGTACCTTCTTTGGGGAAGTCTATGCTGAAATCTTTTGCCCATCTTTTTTGTTGGGTTATTTATGAGTTCTGAGAGTCATTTATAAATTCTGGATTCAAAGACTTTATCAGATATGTGATTTGCAAGTATTTTCTCCCAGTCTGTGGCTTGTATTTTCATATTAACAGTGACACTCAAAGCGCAGAAGTTCTTAATTTCAACAAAGTGCGATTCATCAATTTGTTCTCTCATGGACTGTGCTTTTGGGGTCAAATCTATGAAGCCTTTGCCCGATCCAAAGTTACAGAAATTTTCCTCCTATCTTCTTCTAGAAATTTTATGATTTTAAGTTTTACATTAAGGTCTATGATCCATTTTATTTGGTCAATTTTTGTACATGGTGTGAATTTGTGGACTGAAATTCTTTTTTTTTGCATGACGATACCAAATTATTCCAGCGCCATTTGTTTCCCCGACATGTATGTTTGGAAAAGTGCTTCAGAGTAGAAATGATTCACTCCCCTCTGCCTGGTAAACTCCTACTCATCCTTCAAAACCCAGGTCAGATGTCCCCTTGGCTAAGAAGCCTTCCCTGACTGAAGCCAAGTAGCTTTCATCTATCCTCTGGTGTACAGAATGTTGTACAAACTCTGGCATTTCTCTTATCCCACATGATTGCATTAATTCCCAAGTCTTCCTCTCTTGATAGGGTGAAAATTCAGGGATGAGGACCATAATCCCAGCACTCAGCATAGGCCTGGCACAGAGGGTGATGGTAGGAGTGGGGGTGGGGGTGGGTGACTCAAAACTATTTTTAAAATATAAAAAAATAAATAAAAGAATAAACAAATGAACAATGTGCTTTTTTAAACAACTGAATACCACCTCTCAAGGCCCTACTCACAGGGCCCATCTTCCAGGAAGCCACATTAATCATCAACAATATTTCCTAAGAAAACTGCCACTGACTGATGTAATCCAAGCCCAGGGCTAGCTGCTTTCTGCACATCGTTTCATTTAATCCTGACAACAGGTCCATGAGGCAGATACCACTACTATTGTTATTATACCGAAGAGGACACAGACATTCAGAGAGGCTAGGGTCCATGCCTGAGGTCTCATATCCAGCAAGTGTCAGAGCCGGGGTTTGAACCCAGATAGCCTGTCCTGGAGACTGCGCCCTTACCTCTAACAAACCACCTCCTAGTTCCCTTTATTTGCACAAGACTCATTTCCCTGACAAGCCCAGGCCCCATAAAGGCAACCCTGCCTCCCCCACATGACCAGCCCTTGCCAACTACTCACCCCAGTGACAGAGGGACGAGTCACACAGGGGACCCTCCCATCTTGGCCACGGGGACACAGACACCCACTCACACCCAGAAGGACCTCCTCTTTACCTTAGGCCACACGCCCATGCCAAAGGAGCTGCTGTCTGCCAGCTGGTGCAGGTACAGTTCTGTCCTGGAAACAGAGAACGGACCAGAAGTAAGGGAGGACCCACCCACCCCAGTGGCCTGGAGGGCAGGTGGTCACCACGGCATGGGGCTCCACACAGTGCCCCAGGCGGCCCCAGCGTCTGCCTCAGGCCCTGGCCCTACCTCCCGAATATTCCTCACTTGCTGCCCTCACTGGGCCCTTCTTAAGTGAAGGCCTTCCAAAAGCTTCCTTACTCCTCTGTTACCCTGCTCTGAAAACTGGGAGTTTCCTCTCTAATCTGCCCTCTCTCCAAAGGGTAAGGTGCCCCTCTGGCCTTAGCGAGGAGGCTCAGGACAGGTTGGGCCTGCCCTTCAGACGGGGGTGGAAGGCAGGAGACAAATGATGGGGGACGCAGAGGGAAATTGAAAATTATCCCCCCTCGCCTGGGGTGAGCACTCCCTGGAGCTTCACTAGATAGAACCTTACTCATTCATTCAACAGATGAGGAAACCAAGGCTCAGAGACAGGGAGCCACATGTCCAAGAATTCCCAGGAGTCAGCGAGGGGCAGAGATGACTCCCTGGGCCACCTCCCGCAGAAGGCCCTCCCAGATGAGTCTTCTGGCTTCTCTGCTGTTCCACCTGGTGCCTCCTCGCCCTGAGCTACCTCAGGTGCACCCAAGGCTCTCACAGAGTTTAGGAGCTTCTGGAAGATTTGGGGTCTGCTGTTTCTTGCCCACCTCCCACGCTGCTGTCAGAACCTGTACCGAAATGTCACCGTCACAGCAGACAGCCTCCACCCACCCCCCAGCGTGTATAAAGAGCCATATGTGAATTATCTCACTTAATCCTGTAAGGTCAGTCAAGGTACTATTTCCACTTTACAAAGGAAGAAACGGAGGTTCAGAGCAGGTGACACCTGGCCAGGTTCACCCAGCCCAGGAGCAATACCAGGCAGCTGGAATCAGAGGCCAGATTCCTAACCACTGGGCTCTACCACCTCTCAGCTCTAGGCAGAGGTAGGGCTGGGGCCTTGGAGAGTGGGGGCCCTTTGTCTCACTGCCCTTGGCCGTCCCTGCTCAGCCCAGTCGCTCACCTGAGATCCAGGTCCAATCCGGCTAGCATCTGGGAGAAAACCTCGAAATTGCCTTCCCCTTCCAGCTGCCGGGCCACGTGGCTCTTCTCCAACAGCATCGTCTGCCAGGGGAGAGGACAGGCGCCCGGTCAGCACGAGGCCACGCTAGGCTGCCTGTACACCCCCACCAACCCCCAGGCCCACTCTTTGAGGCAGCACCTAAGGCCCCAACTTGGCTGGACGCCTCCAAATCAAAACATGCCAGACCTTTGTCTCACTGATTCAGAGTCCAGGCAGGGAATCAACGCATGCAACAGGCTCATTCCAATGAAGAAATACAAGGATACTAACAATTAACCCACAGCCGCCCTCCAACACACTCGTATGCAACCGAAGCCCTTAATAACTTGACCCACATGGTGATGCACGGTAGACTTTCAGGGCCGGGACAGAAAGGGATTTATCGGGCACCAGCGAGTCTGGATATTCTCCCAGCTCCACATACAAACAACCCTTCTAATAACCTAATCCTATTTTCTGTTCAAACAGAATGTTTGCGGGGGTGGGGGGGGGAAGGGGAGGGGCCGAGTGATTTCAGAGAGAGGAACAAACAGGCCATGTGCCTGTCACACACGGGCTGCCGCAGCAGGCCAGCGAGCGTCTGTTTAATTTCGGCTTACGCTTTTAAGACCCAGCTAATGAGCGACTGAATTATGTATCTACTCGTGAATATTTCATCCCTGTGATACTCCGAGGCACAGACGAGCCGGCATGCTCGGGGAGGAGATGCCTGGGCACTGAGCGAGGTGGGGAGGAGCTGGCTTTGGCCTGGGGAGCGAGGACCATTTAGACATTCCAGGGTTCCAGCTGGAGGCGTGGGCCCTGCTGAGTGGGGCTGAGGCTACTGCAGCCCCGAAGAACCCCCTCTCCCTCCCACCCAGAAGCCTCACCTGGAGCTGGGCGGCCGTGACTCGGCCTGTGGCGTTGAAGTCCAGTGACATCACCATGGAGAACCGGGTGGCACAGCGGCTATGGCCGGTGGACACAGAGCCAAAGGCCCGGAGGACAGTGAAGGTGGCTCGAATCTTCTCCACTGGTGGAGCACAGACAGGGCATCAGCCGTGGCCCGGGTGCTGCCATCCCCACCTCTCACAGGACCCCAAGCCGGCCCCAGGCCCCAGCGGGGCCACCTCCACTCCCCCACCTCAGCTCTAAGCCACACCTCTTCCACTGCTGTGCTGGTCCTGTGCTGCAAGTAGGGGCACGGGGGGAGCAAGAGTGAGCCCAGAAGGGGAGATACACACACCTAGGATTGGTACGATCTGAGTGATAAGGGCTGCCCTAGGGCCTCCTGGGCCTGGTGGACTCTAGGAGGAGGGCAGGGTATTAACATTCTTGGACCTGCTCTCAGGGAACACTCCATCACAGCAGGCTCAAAAAGCCCTGCAGTCCCCACACACGAGCACCCACTATGTGCTAGGCACCTGGATACAGCCTAGCCTGACTCCCACTCCCCTAACACACACTTTCAGCAGAACTACATTCTGGGAGGGCCAAGACTGGTGCCTCTCCCTGCTGTATCCCCAGCTCCTAACAGGGCTCTAACCTGGGCCAGGTGCAGAACAGGTGATCAATAAAGCATTGGAATAACCCCAGTGGAGAAGCAGGATAGTACAATGGTTAAACAAGCTTGAATATGGCCTCTCTCCATTGTTAGTCACCTGATCTGGAGTGAATTAATTAACCTCCCTGTGCCTCGGATACCCCATCTATAAGATGGGGGTAATAATAGTACTTACCTACCTCATGTGGTTGCAACAAAGACTAAAAGATTTAATAAAGTGCTCAGAACATGCTCCAAATGTGGTGGTGTTATTATTATGTTTGTTATTATTAGAAAAGCAATACTGCCTGGGCCATATATTCTCAGCAGGGGGAATACTGCCCCCAAGAGGGCAGAAACTGATTCTTGAGAATGGGGGCAGTTTTCCTTTCTTATGTATAGAATAGAACACAGATATATATATGTCTGTGTCTGTATATCTATACACACATACACACACACTGCATAAACAAATACATGGTGAATCTACGGCATTAAATTTTCATGGTGGGAGACGATTAGGAGAAAGAACAATTAAAAAGGCTCCTCAGAGGGGCAACAATACATTGAGAACACTGGCCCAGGGGTAACAGCTCTGGAGCCAAAATGTCTGTGTTTGAATCTCGGTGCTAGGATGTATGAGCTGTGTGGCCTTGGGCAAGCTGGTTAACCTCCCTGCGTTTTAATGGCCTCATCTATAAAATTCAAATAATAATGATGTCTACCTTATGGGGATGTTTTAAATAATAAGTAAGTTGACCTGCTTGGAATAGAGCCTGGCACAAGCATTTACCATGATCACCATCAATACTGTAGCTATCATCACCAATTGACACTCTTTTTTACTGAAGTATAGCTGATTTACAATGCTGACACTCCTTCTTTAATGTCCAGCTCAAACATCATTTCCTCGAGGAAGCCCCCCAGCCCCTTCTCTGCGCTCCCTCCGCCTCTCCCCTCCCCAGCTCAGCCAGCAGGTGGTGCAGAGCATTGGAGTCTGGCACAGATGTGCAGCCGAGTCTCCCTTCCGGCTGTCAGCGCCTCCTTGCCTTTGTTTTTTACTTACAGTCCAGCGGGCTGTGCGCTGCACAGGGACGCCACACCTGAGGGCACGGCATCTCTGTCAGATAGCCACAGGCCTGTATGCTTACAGTCCGGCGGGCTGTGCGCCGCACAGGGACGCCACACCTGAGGGCACGGCATCTCTGTCAGATAGCCACAGGCCTGTATGCTTATAGTCCGGCGGGCTGTGCGCTGCACAGGGACGCCACACCTGAGGGCACGGCATTTCTATCAGCCACAGGCCTGTATGCTTATTAGGGTGATGGCTCAGAACGCGGCGGTCAAGCGTTTGGTTCTAACAATGTCAATGTGTGATGACTTTTCCACATATGGCAGTGAGTGTCTTAGGCAAGGAGTGGCTGTTTCTAATTCACACAAAAGTACCCAACAGACTAGGGGTGGCCCTGCCCGGAAGTCAGCACAGGGTCTGCACACAGGTGCTCAGTGAACGCTAGCTGAGCGGATATAAGAAAGAGCTGCCCAGCACCCCCTCCGACTCTCCCTTCCCTTCCCCCACGCCACTGCCCCCAACGTCCCAGCTGCGCGTCACCTGGAGACCACCGTACCTGAGACCCTGCCATCCACACTGCCTGCCATCCCCACCAGGTGCTCCAGGGCCTGCTCGCAGCAGGTGGTCTTGCCAGCACCGCTGCGGCCCAGGGCCACGATGCTCTGGTCCCTCTGCTGGCTCAGCAGAGCCCAGTACGCCCGCTGGGCCAGGGAGCCAACGTGGGCGGGTAGGCCATCCTGGCAGCTCCTGGGAACCTGCAGGAAGATCGCCGGCATCAGCTTTCCCACCCAGCCGGGGCCCAGGGAGCACTCCACAGAGCTCCAACCCGGCCTCAAGCCCAGATCCACGTCCATGCCTCCCATCCTACTCCAGCCTTGTCAGAGACGTCGTGCATTCTCTGGGGAGAGCCCAGCCTGGAGATCTAGTCCTGCCATGGGCTCGCTGTGAGCCCTTGGGCAGCCTCGGACCCTGCTCTGAGCCTGGCCTCTTCTTCCGCCAATGAGAGGCTTGAACTAGAGCTGCATTAGCTCATGGGGCTCATCTCACTTGCTACACAAAGGACTGGATCGTACCTGTCTGAAATGAAACAGGTGGATAAAATGGCTCAACTGTTTAGTGACGTCTGCCATGGAAACAGAATAGGGCATGGGGGAATTGGCAGTACGTGTGCTATGTATTTGCTGTAACAGATTTAGATACCGGAAGCCCCTTTGACTTCATTCATTCATCCATCCGTACATTCATTCACTCAGTAAAAAATATATATTCATTGAGTGTCTACTACGTAGCAGGCACTATCCCAGGCACTGGGGACACAACACTACTCAAGGCGAATAAAGGAAGTCTCTGCCAACCGTGAGGAGATATTATTATATACCTCTTAAGATGGCTAAAAAACCTGTTTTTAATTCTTTTGACACCCTACCAAGTTCTGGTTAAGATACAGAGCAAGTGGAATTCTCCCACAATGCTACACAATACAGCCACTCTGGAGAAGAGCTTGGCAGCCTCTTTTACAGTGATACGTGCACTCGTCACACAACTGAGCAATCCCACTCCTAGGTATTTACCCAAGAGAAATGAACATTTGTGTTCACCAAAAAACCCTCTCTGTCACTGGTTATATTGAGTATGTATTCAAAATCATCAACAAACTAGAAACAACCCAAATGTCCCTCAACTAAAGAACTAAGATAACCAACCACCCTGGTTTTAGCACCGAAAGTCCCTTGTCCCAGAAAAGCCATTCCCTCCCACGGAAATCAGGACAACTGGTCCCCCTCTGAACAGATAAACAAAGCTGTGCAATAAAATACAATAGAATAAAAGAACTAACGGCTCACAGCTGCAACAATAGGGGTGAATCTCAAATGCGCTGTGCATTGTGATAAGTGGAAGAAGAAGCCGATTCCAAAGGTTACACGCTGTACAATTCCATTTATATGACTTTTCAGAAAAGGCAAAACTAGGGAAAAGGGACAAAAGAACAGATTAGTGGCTGCCAAGGGTGGGACATGGGGGAGGGGTTGGCCACAAGGGTATGGAGAACTTTTGGGGGTGATGGGAACTGTCCTGTAATTGATGGCAGAGACAGTTTCACAACTATACGTGTTTGTCAAAAACTTACAGAAGTGAACACTAAAAAAAGTGACATTGGGCTTCCCTGGTGGCGCAGTGGTTGAGAGTCCGCCTGCCGGTGCAAGGGACACGGGTTTGTGCCCGGGTCCGGGAGGATCCCGCGTGCCGCGGAGCGGCTGGGCCCATGAGCCATGGCCACTGAGCCTGTGCGTCCGGAGCCTGTGCTCCGCAACGGGAGAGGCCACAGCGGTGAGAGGCCCGCGTACCGCAAAAAAAAAAAAAAAAAAAAAAAAAGCAACATTAACTTATACTTATTAAATTATACCTTATATACTTATATACTTATTAAATTATACCTTATATACTTATATACTTATTAAATTATACCTTAATAAACCTGACTTAAGACAAAAAAGCCCTGCCTGTAGAGCTTGCTTTCATTTGGGAGAAGACAGATGATAAAAAACCAACTAATTAAATTATACCGAACGGGAGTCATTTTAAAGCCATGAGCTTGGATGAGATCACCAAGGAAGTGGGCGTTTAAAGAGGGAGAGAGAAGAGGTGTAGGGACGGGCACCCTGACTTGGAGCTATCAGGGACCAGCAAAGGACACTGAGAGGGAGGGCCAGCGGGACAGACGGAAAACCAGGAGAGCGGAATCCTGGAGCTAAGGAAGGGAGTGATGGCAGGAGGGGGGCAGGACCAGCCCCTGAAGTGCTGCTGAGGGTCAAGTCAGAGGAGACCGGAGAATTGTCCACTGGGCTTGGCAGCACGAAGGTCACTGTGACCTTGACAACTGTCTGCTTAGCGTGGTTTTCCGGGAGAACGGAAGAGGGCGGTGGAGGTAGTGAGGGCAGTGGAAAGGCACCAAAGGGAGCAGGGAAACGGGCCTGGCTGGAGGAGGACCTTGGAAGCCCAGGATGCTAAGTGGGTGACAAGTGGGCTAACGCCCGCCCTCCCAGTGGCTTGGCAGGACCAGGGGCACAAACTCTGGTGTGGCAGCCCTCCCCCTCCCCGAACCCCCAGCCTGGGCTAAGGAGCACCCCCAGTGCACTGTTGGCCTTTCCTACCCCGAGACCCCCCAGGAACAGCAATGAGTCCCCATCCTGACACAAATCAAAAGGCTCAGCAGGACCCCAAAGCCGGCAAAGTAGGACAAGCCTCCACACTAGCGGGACACAGCCTAAGGGAACACAGCGGGCAGAGGGGCCTGAGGTCTGAGCCTCGGAGCCACCTCCCGCTTTGGAAACATAAAGTTCAAGGGCCAGGCTATCCCAATCGTCAGCCTTCTCAGGCCTGCAGGGGAACAGGGAGGATTCTGCAGACCCAGGCCCCGCAGTCACACACAGCTACCCCTGCATGCTTGCACACGGGCACACTCAAGGGCACACACACCCAACAAACAGCTGCAGAGGCCTCTGCACACAGGTGTGCCCATCTACACCCCACGCAGTCACAGCACACTCACCCCAAAAGAGGCCAGCCCCAGGCACGCACCCAGCTCCCAGCCACCCAGCCGGCCCAGACCCCCACTGAGAGAGGCCCCCAGCCCTGCCTGGACCGCTCCTAGCCCATCTTCAAGGTGGCCTCAGTCCCAGCCTCACCGCAGGTCTCTGCTCCCACCTGGTGGCCATCTGAGGAACCAGAGGAGACTCAGCCAAAAACAGAAGGCAGCTGTGGGTGTGGGAGGCGGCGTGACTTGAGGGGGACCCACGCCCACCGCAGGGTTACAGGGGCTTAGGGGGATCACGGGACTCAAGTTCCTCCTACCAGGGTGGGTCCCAATCCCTGCACTTTTAGGCTCTCTGACCCAGGCCGTCTGGCAGACGCCGCAATCGAGGAGGACGGTCACAGTCGTGAGAAGTGGGCTTGCGGAGAGACCTGTGACAGACACCCCTCCCAGGGGCCCCTAAGGAACCAGAGCAGGCTCTCGGGGCCTTGGGCTGCAGTAACAGAAGCACAGCCTCCCTGGCAAGGGAGGGGAGAGTGCAGCGTCGCCCTTCCAAGCCCCTGGCCAGAACAGCCAGGCTGGGGAGGGGCCTGGAGGGTGACCTAAGGGTGGGGGGAGCGTCCAGGAGAAGAGAAGCCCCGGGGAGGGGGTGCAGGGCCACTGTCCCCTCTTTAATGGACTTAGCATCATTCGGGGGCTAGGAATGGCTTTGTCCCACAAGACGCCAAAGGGTAAGGTGCAGCTTTTCATCCTCCATCGACAGATGAGGACACCCAGGCCAGAGAGGTGTCCTGACCTCCCCAAGGTACCTGCGGCGTGTTGAACCTTCCCACCAACAAGCCCTCAGAATGGAGCACAGATACGACTTTTGACCTCCGGGGGGTCTCCCTGCCTCCACTTTTGTCCGCCTCTATCTAACCTCCACTTAGCAGCCAGGAGGGCCCTTTTACAGCGTCAGACCACATCACTGCTCTGCTGAAAATCTCCATCATGCTCAGAGTAGAAGCGGAGTCACTATGACCGTGCATGAGGCCTGGCACGACCCGTCCCCGCTCCTCCTGACCTCCACCTTGCTGTCTCCTCCACACGTTTCTCTTTGTCACGTTGGGTCCGTCTTCCCCCAAGAGGATGAGAGCTCCACGAAGGCAGATTTATCTGCCCACCTTCTTCCCTGCTCCTCCCTCCAAGCCTGGCATACGGGACCCTCAATCGATACCTCAATCGGGAGCCACTGAGTGAATGGAGGGGGGATGGGGTGCAAATAACTCGGCTGTAGCTGCAGACCTCTCCACGAGGTGGCGCTGACAGGTCTTCTTTGCTTTGACTGTCGTCTTAACAAAAAACGGGCCATTTTACACTGCCCAGGGAAAAGTAAATAAAGGCAGAACCGAGGCTTCTGTTTCCCCGTTCACATGGGTGTCTGGGACTCCCGCGGGTCCAGCATGAGGCTCAGAGCACAGAGGGGCCGGCAGCCTGCGTTTAAGGCCAGCTCGTCTGGCAGCTGGCCCAGCTTCTCGTCCATTGAACGGGGCTGGTCACGGTCCCTGTGGTGTCAGGTGGGCCCGAGAGCTGATGGAGACACGCACGAAGGCGCTTGCAGCAGTGCCTGGTACACAGCTGACAGGCAATGCGTCTCTCCTATTGTCACTCTCTCGCACTCCTGCTGCTGTTTCTATCAGTTACTCATTCCCCCTCTAGGGGGGTTCATGGGGCCCCCAGGCCCCCCAAGGCCCACGGCGCCCCAGAATCCATGTCTGCAGGATGCTGCCCACAGACACATCTGCAGGGGGCCTTGGCTGCCCTGCTCTCCCCTGAGATGCAGAGGGACCCCTCCACCCCACCCCTCTTGTGCAGTCCCCCAGCCCTGGCCCCATGGTGCCCCCTCACCTTGGCTGCAGAGGGCGCCGTGGGTCCCTGGGGCTGAAGGACGATCAGGTCGGGCCCAGCGCAGGTGTGCAGCAGCCGAGCCCGGTGGCGGTGCAGAAGCGTGTTCAGCACACTGGACTCGTTGACACTGACCAGGGAGGCCAGGTCCTCGGCCTGGTCCAGCTCGGGCGGATTGGCCTGTGAACCATCACACAGTGTCCTCTGGCCTCCTG